TCCACTCTCCAAGGGCCGGCTTTGCGTCACCACCCCCGGTGCCCAGTGAGTCATCCGGTCGGGACGTTAGGGTTTGAACGGCTTTGCTACCTCTCCGGAGGTGACGTGGCGAAGCCACCCCCACCGTGTGCCTTCCTTGGTGTGGGACGGCTTTACTTCCACTCCGGGAGTAGTCACGAGCTTAACTTTCTCCCACCGTTCCTAAGAGTTGTACGAGCAATTTGGTTCCCAACGAATTGTTTCCTCCAGGGAGGCGTTGCGTTGCCTCAGGCTCGCAGCTCCGGGAGCTGTTCGGACTGGACTGTGAAGGGTCAAAACGGCTTTTACTTCCTCTCCAGGGGAGGTGTTGCGTTACCTCAAACCCACCGTTCTGGGAGTGGTTCGGACTGGACATGGCGGGGACGAAACGGTCGCCTAGGGGCGGCTTTCTCAGGGCCGCGTCTTTTTAATCATTGACAAGGGTTTGGGCGGCCACCCACTGCCTCATACCCATCACCGGCAACACGTAATCATGTTAGCGCTTAAACTTCCGTTGCGTTGGAAATCATGCGTTTTGCCTGGGATCTTTTAGCTTCAGAAGTAGAAAAACTCCCCCCTACTAGTCAGGTACGCCACGGAGAGGCAAGATCCTGTGTAACACCACCGAGAGCTTGTGGTGCTGGGTAAGGATTTTCCCTAAACCCACCTGAGTATACTTACTACTAAGTTACTACTGAATGGTGTGCCTGAGTCCATGAGTACTTTGCATGTTGGGAAATGGCAGAGATTTCTCTAAGAACCATAACACAAGTTTTGTGCAGAATGCCCTGACATTGTCATAAGCAACACTGACAAGCTGCCCCTGGTCTTGTAACTTCTTGTTGAGTACATTCAGCTCCTCTAATTTCAAAAAGAAAAGCCAAGTCCATGAGCCATTTGGGATCACTTAGTACAGGAACAATCACCCCACCCTTCACCACGAAGGCTTTAAATGCTAAAACTTGTTCAGACAGAAGGCACGAGCAGGCCCTATTTATGAATTATTGACACGAAGGAAGAACCTTTTGTAGGTAGAATGAATTTTGACTTTTTATATTAGGAAAGGTCTTTTTGACTAACCCTATTTTGAAAGACAGTCCTTCTATATGGATCAGAAACTTGGAAAACAATGGCAAGCATTCCTCAAAAAGTACAGACCTTCATAAACACATGGCCTTAGAAATATCCTTAAAATCAAATGGCCAAATATTAACACCAACAAAGATATACTAGAAAGGACTCACCAGGTGCCCATTAATGAAGACATCTTAAATAAAAGATGGAGATGGATAGGACATACACTTCGAAAACCCCCATATAGCACCACCAGATTGCACCTTGTACAATATTATTTAAATTTAAAGCTGAACAGGCAAGAATTTGTTTACTGGTCATATTTAAGTTTGCTTTGAATAACAGACAGGAAGTAACTCAATAGCTGATTTAATCTGCTTTAGAATAGTGATTCCCAAAATTGTGGGCCGCTAGCCCTCAATTGCTGGTCCACAAGGGGCAATAATAATTAAAGATAAGATTTTAAAAATCTATATATGGAGCACTTGCCTCCACTTCTTGGTGGTCCCCACACACTGAATAAATTGAGAAGCACTGTTCTAGAAGAGAAAAGAATTTGAATAAATAATTTAGATTTTTCTCCCTTCTGTTTATTTAGAGTTCAACACAAGTTCAATGCAAGCCAAATTTGCTGGACTCAACAAAATGATGGTCAAAGGACAGGTACAGTGTACAAAGAGAATCTCATCAAGATAATCTTTTTTGTATCCTCACAAATGTCCTAGATTATTTACAGTCTATAGTAGAAACAAATACTCCTCATTGGTGCAACTGCCATTTCTAATAGACCATTTATATACTGTATCTTTGTGGCAAGGAATCAAAATGTCAAGTTGTGAAAATCAAATGGAACTATTAACACACCCTTTTTTTTTAAAATGGATAATTATGTCTACAACCAATTTATATTTTAGTTACTGAGGGATTCCCTTGACACATTTCTGACTGTCAGTTCTGGGTTTTTCCACTATCACCATGAGGAAGTTCAGTACTGGGTGTCCGTGTTTACTAACATATTCCGCTGTCATCAACCTCTGCCCAGACGGCAGTCCCACTTGCCATTGACCAGGAAAAAGTCAATTCCAAGGTAATGTATCCTTAAATAGTTCCTCATGGACAGCATACCCCATTTACAATACACCACAACTAGCCTACAACAGCATACCCAATTTACAATATACCACAACTGGCCTACAACAGCATACCCCATTTACAACACACCACAACTGTCACACCACAACTGGACTATGACAGCTTACCCAATTTACAATACACCACAAGTTGCCTACATCAGCATACCCATTTTTAATACATCACAACTGGTCCTACAACAGCATACGCCATTTACAATACATCACAACTGGCCTACAACAGCATACGCCATTTACAATACATCACAACTGGCCTACAACAGCATACGCCATTTACAATACATCACAACTGGCCTACAACAGCATTCCCAATTTACAATACACCACAACTGGCCTACAACAGCACACCCCATTTACAATACATCACAACTGTCACACCACAACTGGCCTATAACAGCATATGCCATTTACAATACACTGCAACTGGCCTATAACAGCATACGCCATTTACAATACACTACAACTGGCCTACAACAGCATACCCAATTTACAATACACCACAACTGGCCTTCAATATACACCATTTACAATACACCACAACTGGATTACAACAGAGCACCCCATTTATAAAACCCTATAACAACATACCCCATTTACAATACACCACTACTGGCCTACAACAGCATACCCCATTTACAACACACCACAACTGGCCTTCAATATACACCATTTACAATACACCACAACTGGATTACAACAGAGCACCCATTTATAAAACCTTACAACAGCATACCCCATTTACAATACACCACTACTGGCCTACAACAGCATACCCCATTTACAACACACCACAACTGTCACACCACAACTGGCCTACAACAGCACACCCCATTTACAATACACCACAACTGGTCTACAACAGCACACCCAATTTACAATACACCACAACTGGCCTATAACAGCATACGCCATTTACAATACACCACAACTGGCCTACAACAGCACACCCCATTTACAATACACCACAACTGGCCTATAACAGCAAACGCCATTTACAGTAATTATTCTTGTTTATGCTATCCTTCATATTACAAGACAGAATGGTTACTGCAAATTTGTTTGAAAGAAATTTCGTCAACGGAAAATTGATAGATGGAAGTTTGACGCACGGAAATTTGATCAAATGGATGTTTGGCCGAGCTGAAGTTTGATGGTACGGAAGTTTGGTCGCAGAATGGGAATTAGGTAGAACAGAATTTTGATCGAACGGAAATTTGGTAGAGGAGAAGTTTGATCAAATTTTTTATTTTTTTCTCTAACAGTTGCCATTGAGAAATTTGTTGGAATTGTAGTTATTTTAAAATGGTATTTACTTTGATTCTTCTTTTTGTTTTAAAATAAATTTTGTTGTCTAAGGCTTGCGTCTGAGAAATGGGTAGATCTGTTCAAACGGACTCATGTCGGAATTTAGTTTATTTTTAAACTGAAAAACACAAAAATGTCGACAGTACTTATTTAATTATTGATAAATGAACTGATTTAGTAAAAATATAAATACCACCACTAAATTTTAAAAAGAATAAGTTTGTCTAGTATTGTGACGTTTTATTAAAATATCTTGAGTATGGGAAAAGTAACCTGACGATACAAGTTATTGGAATTGCGAAAACTTCAATAAAAAACATTCATGTCCATTCAAGTAACCATTTTGAATTGTAACTGCTTAGGGTCCATTTCAAATTGTAACTGCTTAGGGTCCATTTCAAATTTTTACTGCTAAGGGTCCATTTCAAATTGTTACTGCTATTATTAGTGCTATAACTAAACAAATCAAACAACACAATCTTTTAAGAGCTATCAAAGACTTGGAGCTTACTTGTAATCCTCATATAATTATTCTCATAGATTTTGAGCTTGCAATGGTAAATGTTATAAAAGTCGAGTTTCCTCAAACTATTACTCGAGGATGCGTTTTTCACTTCTGCCAGTGTATTTATAGAAAATTTCAAACAAATGGCTTGAAGCTAAATTTTAACTTTGACCCAGAATTTGCATTAAGAATGTTGTCTGCTTGAGCATTTGTGCCTGTTGCCTACCCAACATGTGTTAGAGTACTTTGTGCCTGTTGCCTACACAACATGTGGTAGAGTACTTTGTGCCTGTTGCCTACACAACATGTGGTAGAGTACTTTGTGCCTGTTGCCTACACAACATGTGGTAGAGTACTTTGTGCCGGTAGCCTACACAACATGTGGTAGAGTTCTTTCAGTTACTTTGCAGCAGATATATTTTACCCCCTGAAGCTGAAGTAATTTTTAGTTATTTTGATGACCCATAGATCTGTTGACCTAAAAATAGTCACTGTCGACCGATTTCCCCTTCATATGTCACAAGATTTGGCTTATATATTGACAATAAACTTAGAATGATTCCCCATATCAGTTCTTTGGTCAGGGCATGCTTCTGTCATCTTCGCGCCCTGGGTCATCTGTGTCCTCAACTCAATAAGAGAACAGCCAATGCTGTAGCGGTAACTCTAATCCAGTCAAAATTAGATTACTGTAATAGTTGTTTGTGGGGTGTACCTCAGAACCAAATTCAGAGACTCCAGAAGGTACAAAATACTGCAGCACGCATTGTAACGCGTATAAAGAAATCTGACCACATCACCCAAGTTCTACAAGGTCTCCAATGGGTTCCTGTGAGTGAGCGCATTAACTACAAAATTCTGACCCTGGGGTACAGCTTGCATAGAAGGCTCTGCACCGGAATATCTCTAAGAACTGATTTATAAACATGTATCCTTAAAGAACCTGCGGTCTTCAACACAGTCCTTACTGAAAATTCCCAGCGTGGATGAACACAGAAAAAAGTTTTGTGGATTGTGCTCTTTTGAAGCGATAGGGCCAAAATTATGGAACAGTTTGCCTCAATCTTTGAGGGGATTTGAAAATGATACAAAATCTTTTAAGAAACATTTTAAAACTTTTTTGTTTAAATAGATATAAGAAAACCAGAGCGCAGTGAGCATGCTAAAGTAGCATGGATGCCAGCGCTATATAAATATCCAATCTATAAATCAAACAAGCTGCTTTGATGTAAGTCAACAGATTTGTCAATAACTAACAATGCTCTTGAAGGTTGGCATAAGGGGTTGGCAGAACCAAGTTTGGGCTGATCACCCCAACATTTTTCATTTTATAAGAGCCATCAACCGTGAGCAAAGTTTAAACAAACTTTATATTGAACATTTCATTACTGGTCAGAAGCCTCCTTTGGGAAGAAAACAACATAAAGATTCAGTAGAAAGACTAAACGGCAACTATTTTGAAACCAATATTTAGGCCAAGGACTATATTACGTGGAAGAACACATAATATTGCCTATTTATTTTTTTACATTTAATTAAATGAAACAATAATCACCATAGAACTGTTTTCTTTACTTTGTCTGTGAGCCCTATTATTATGTATAAGGGAGGGATAATTTTTACTTTTTAAATTTGATTAAGTGATACTTAACTAGGTAGGCCCATTATAAATATTTATGATTTGTGTAACTTTATAATTTAGGCCTCCTTGACAATACCGATGTAAAAGGGTCTGACCTAGGATGAGAACTGCATTCATGATAATAAAATGAAGTTGCTTTTTTTAAGACTGGAAGTAATTTTAGTAAGTTACCGGTATCTAAAATTATTGTCTGTAAGAACTTATTTCCTGTCAAGGAAGGAAGTGTCTCTATTGTGTATTCTTTTCTAAAATCACTCGATAAAACAAATGTGACATTACCTTAAATGTTTTAAATGTTGGAACCATAGAAACATTTTATGCATTGTTAATATTTAAATTACTAGTCTAAAGAAAACCCATGTTCAACTAGTCTAAAGAAAAAAGCCTATCTTTATTCTGTGTGCCGTGCCACTGTTTTGAAAGGGATGTGCCATTTGACATCAGACCCAAAAACACAAGCTGACGTACTCAATCAGCAGTTCCAGTTGGTCTTTGGCGACGGTAAAGATTACTCGGAGGCTGAACTCCATCTGAAGACTAATATGATGAATAGAGCCTACCCTGTCATGGAAGATATCCAGATATCAGAACAGAGTGTGCTGCCCTTCTCAAAACCATCAACCCCTACAGAGCATGTGGTCCTGACAACATTAAACCACGAGTGCTCAAAGAATTAGCCAAAGAAATCACTCCTGCGCTGACAATCCTCTTCCAATCGTCGCTGTGCACAGGAAATGTTCCAGCAGACTGGAGAACAGCGCATGTCACTCCAGTCTACAAGAAAGGGGAGCATTCTGACCCTGCCAACTATCGTCTGATATCCGTCACCAGCGTGGTCTGCAAACTGTTGGAGCACACAATCGTAAGCACAGTCATGAAGCATCTTGAAAGCCAAAATATACTCAATGACTGTCAACAGGGCTTCCGAGTCAATAGATCATGTGAGACCCAGCTTCTCGAATTTGTAGAAGACCTGATGACCAATCATAGTTTGCTTCTACACAAATTCCAGATGTATGGGATCCAAGGCACCACTAAAACATGGATCTCTAGCTTCCTCAGCCACCGCTGCCAAGCAGTAGTGGTGGATGGTACAAGCTCCTCCATTGGGAATGTGGAGAAACTGACATCCCAAGCAAGACTGTTCACAGATGACACAGCGGTATATAGGACGATCGCCAACAGATCTGACCAGGACCAGCTACAACAGGATCTCAATCGGTTAGCTGAGTGGGAGATGAGCTGGGACATGGAATTTCACCCTGCCAAGTGCCAGAAACTATCAGTCTCTAGAAGTTGTACTCCTCTACACTACCAATACGAACTGCATGGCCACATACTTGAGACAGTTTCCTCAGTAAAGTACCTGGGTGTTACCATTCAAAGAGAGGTCCAATGAGACGAGCATATTAACAATGTATGTAACCAAGCAAACAAGACCCTGGGGTTCTTAAAGCGTAACCTGAAGATTGGCAACTCCTGTGTAAAAGAAAGAGCATATAAAGCCTTTGTCCGTCCGATTTTAGATTATGCATCTTCAGTCTGGGACCCATTTACCCAGAAGAGCATTGACAGGTTGGAGGCGGTCCAGCGACGGTCAGGTCTCTTTGTCCTGAACCGATACAGGAATACCTCTAGTGTTGGCAGTATGCTGGAAACACTAGGCTGGTCACCATTGGAGGATTGACGACGACAATCCATGCTCTCCATGATGTACAAAATAAATAATGGGCTGGTCCACTGTTCCAGTATTAAACAGAAACTCGTCCCTCTCCCCCATACACAGCGATGAGGCCATGACGGGCAATTCCGGCTCATACCAGCAAGAAGCCAGTATAGGAAGTGCTCATTCCTGCCCAAGAAAATCAGGAACTTGAACAATCTTTCAAAAGAAACAGTTGAGGCGACAACACTAGACACATTTGCGTCTATTGCCTCAAGCCTTCCAACCCCCATTGCATGATTCCTTCACAAAGTAGCACATGTAATCATTGAAATATCGTCATCAACACCAGGCACAGAAGCATTGCAAATCCCCTCTACATGCATAGGAGCCAAAATGACCAATAAATTGATCGTGGGCCCTTAATATATAGAAGAAGAAGGAGAAGAAGAAAAAGTGTTCTCAGAGCCTGGTTTTAAATTAGTATTTAGTTGTCCTGAGATCTAACATTAACTAATAACAAGAGTCATCTGTCAACCACTTACAATAGGAGTTTTGGCTCAGCATAATGAGAAACCACAAAAAATAACAAATAACAACGGTGATATAAATCAGGCCTTTGGGCTGTTTTTGACTTGAAGGGGAAAGAACAGTTGGTTTTTATGTGTGAGTTTATCACATTTATTTAAAGTTTAAAGAACAATTAGTTTTTATGTGTTAGTTTATCACATTTATTTAAAGAACAATTAGTTTTTATGTGTGAGTTTATCACATTTATTTAAAGAACAATTAGTTTTTATGTGTTAGTTTATCACATTTATTTAAAGAACAGTTGGTTTTTATGTGTGAGTTTATCACATTTATTTAAAGAACAATTAGTTTTTATGTGTTAGTTTATCACATTTATTTAAAGAACAGTTAGTTTTTATGTATGAGTTTATCACATTTATTTAAAGAACAATTAGTTTTTATGTGTTAGTTTATCACATTTATTTAAAGAACAGTTGGTTTTTATGTATGAGTTTATCACATTTATTTAAAGAACAATTAGTTTTTATGTGTTAGTTTATCACATTAATTTTCATTTAAGTTTGTGAAATAGCCTTCATCAAGAAAATCAATATTTTATTTAAAGATTGTTTACAAAATTTAGTCAATATATTTCTAAAATCAGTAAAAAATAGTTAATCACAAATTTTATCACAAGTACATGCCTAAATTTCTGTACATTTTCATAAATTGTCTCAGGTAATGATAAATTAAATATATGTTAAATCACTGACTGATACTGAATGTCTAACAGTTGATAAAGATCCCTTTAACATTGTTTCAAAACTATAACCATGCAATTAACATATCCAGACAATTACAATTTTATTGTGCAAATATTGTACATTAGTTAAAATAGATCATTATGGAGCAGTAAGTTTTAAAAAAAATTATAATTTTTATCTGTTACATGGTAGGCATTTTACATGCCCCTAATTCTCAGACTCAAATTCTTTCGTACTCTATAGCACAGATTCTTAACCAGCGATGCCTGCAACCTCAGGGGTTGGGGCGTGCAGTGCCAGGGTGTGCTGGAAGACACAAACATATTTTTAGCTAAAACACAAAGTGCCAAATAATATATAATAAATTGAAAAATGTATGCAATAAGTTGTATTAGCTAATAACAGAAAACAATTATGTACTAACAAAAAAACAACAAATAAATATAACAATATAGTTCAAAAATCACTTTCCATTTATTTTGGTTTGGTAAAGGAAGGAGGGGATAATAATAAGTCATGAATGAGAAAGGGCTGGTAAAGAAAATTTATAAAAAGGTAATTAGTAATATTTATTCATCAGCTAAACTTACAGTTCGGAAGATCCCCTTTTAGGTGCATGTCCAAAAAAAATTATAAAATAAAAAGTTATCATTATTTTCAAAGTTAATTATGAAGATTAAAAATTATTTATGCCCAACATAAATATCAATTTAGAAATGTTATTTTGTATATAACTGTGCATGATTTTTTCCTCTTAGTCTTACATGAAAGTTTGATTTAATATTCTTCTATATATTAAGGGCCCACGATCAATTTATTGATCATTTTGATCATATTATTAATCTATGAGTATGACTACATTTTTACTAGAAATAATACTATAGACCAGCGTTCCCCAAATTAAAAGAAAGATCCACTAAACTTAGCAGTTTGGCAAAAGCTGCTATCTAAGACTATAGTGTGCATAGTATTTACTTATGTAATTTTATTCTTCTTGAATTTATCAAATTTTTTATATTTTTTTAATTTTTGAATTTATCAATAACAGTGTAATTTATAATATCAAGGCTCAAGCTACAAAAAAAGTAAATTAATAATGTAGAAACTAAATCTACAATATTTTTAGAACAGCTATATAATATAAATATATACTATATATTACTGGTATATCATCTGATATTTTTATAATTTCATTCAAGTACGATGTTAAATGAGTAAGAAGGCTTAAGTAGGCCTAAGTGAGGGTGTTATTAAACCATGATTTACTTACTAAAAATTACTACTACAACTTCTAAGTAATCTTAATTAAAATTTAATCTTAATAGTCTTAGGCCTAGGCTACTAATAATAATCTATAGTAATAAAATAGCTAATATGTAGGCTACTAAGTGTAGCTGACTCAGTGACATTACATTACAACAGTGACATTACATTACAACAGTGACATTACATTACACAGCCTGCAGACTTTGCTATGCTGGTGCTTGATTTGGAATGATAACTTTGAGTATTTATAACTTTAAAAATTTATTAAAATGTGTTAATAATATTGAAAGGAAAACATACAAATAAAATTAGGCTAATTACTGATTAACAATTTAGGATAAATAGATTTTTCACAATTTGTCACTCGCATCTCTCTTGGACTTAGGCTCAGTTCACACGGTTAAATTACAATCAAATTTTCTGCACATTTTCGTCAAATTTCTTTTTGACTAATTATTTTGTATTACTATATAGTGCGTTCAAAAAGAAATTTGATGAAAATTTGATAGTGTGAGCTGAATATTAGTAGACTAGCCTTTTAGACACACGTATTCTGTCCGTTCCCAAGACACACATTAAAACATATGGTGAACTATCTTTCTCTTTCTGCGCCCCCAAACAATGGAATTCTTTGCCACTACACATACGCAATATACCAACCACCCAGGCCTTCAAAACTGCACTAAAAACACATCTTTTTAAATTATACTACCCTGACTGATCATTCCCCTCTGACCGATAAAAGATCTTGCTGGCTGACGTCTATGGTTTGCCTTGTAAAAGTTATGTGGTGGGGTGGGTGAATATACATTGCTGTTCTTTATTTCATAAATGTATTTTATTTTAATGTCATGATTATGTCTCTTTTGATAAAATTTTCATTTGATCAAATTTCTGTTTTTTACAAACTTCTGTTCGATCAAATTTCCGTTTGACCGAACCTCCGTTCGATCATAATCCCGCTCAACCAAACTTCCGTTCGATCAAATTTCAGTTCAACCAAACTTCTGTTCAATCAAATTTCCGTTCGACCAAACTTCCGTCTACCCATTTTCTCCGACGAAATTTATTTCAAACAAATTTATGGACACGAGACAGAATAGGTCAGATAAACCACTTAATAAACGACACTGTTTTAGCTTATGTTCTTACAATCACAAACAAGAAGAGAGGAATCAATGCCTACTACAAGACAGAATAGGTCAACTAAGCTACCTGATAAACGACACTGTTATATTGTGTGTTCTTACAATCACAAGCAAAAATAGAAGAATTAATGCATGCTGGAGAGTTTGAACGGCTTGACACCCACTGTTACAACCCTTTTGTTTCCTTGCATCAGCCCTGTGCTGCTCATTTGGATGGAAGGTAAAAACTTCTCTACCGTTGTAGAAGTGACAGAAATGTCATCCACCATTTCTACAGCGGCTTGCAGTGGTATACATTGCCAGCTTTCTCAAGCAAGACTCAATGCCATCATCAAGCCTGGCGGAGGAGGTAACGGATACATAGGCACTCAATACTCAGGTCTGACTACATTAACACAGGCCTCTCTACATTAACACAGGCCTCTCTACATTTACTCAGCCTTGTCTATAATTGACACAGCCTTTTTCTACATTTAAATAGGCATGTCTACATTTACACAAATTTACACATGTAAATTATTAAAGTCATTTTTACAAATTTACACAGGCATTTAAATCGACACACATATATTTACCTATATTTACATAGACATATTAGTATTTATACTATTCACATAGACATTTCTACATTAACATATACATTACATAGACATGCCTACATTATACATATTTACAGAGACATGTCTAAAGTTGCACAAATTTACATAAGCATGTTTGCACTTACATAGATGCTTACATTTCATGTAAGTTACAAGCTGATCATAAATAAATCCACATTGGCATTAACCTTACTATCTTATTAAAGCTTTCAAGTGGTTCTCAAAATATTTGAATGCGTGAAGTCTTACTACAGTTTTTTAAAATTCTAATTTCAGTGGTGGATAAACATGAGTGGTTCAGTTCCTATAACGGATCATGTGAAGTGGATATCCAGAACGTTTCCTGTTGTCTAGTGGATGCCAGGCTCAGCAATGAACAGATGCGTGGCAGAAAACACTACTGGGGAACAGTTTTCTATTTGGGTACTCTACTCATGAAGGCAAGGATTGGTAGTGTTGATAGATTTTCCAATGCTGGGTTTGTGTGCTTATAGTCAAATACATGTTCCATAAACATACCATAGAGGGACATACATGTAGCGTAGAGTCACATTAAGAATCACTACTGGAGAACTCTACTCATGATAGATCCTTACCTGTCACATACTTTTACCATTAACTCATATGGACTAATATGTCAAATACAAGCTGTATTAAGTTAGATACATGTTTCATAAGTCACACTAGTGTATCATTAAGTCACATACAAATATCTTGAAATCACATAAATAAATAAATCACATAAATGATAATGATGGTTAGGTATACCACATGCAATGATTCCCACATGTTTAATTTCAACAGGTGAAGAAGTTGAGTTATGACGTGAAGGTGGAAGGTATGGAGGACAACCTGCAGGTGGAGTGGTCCAGTGGCCTTTACAGTGTGTTGAATCAACTCATCAGTGCTTTCAGGAGGGTCAAACCTCTCCAGCCAGCTCAAACCAGCCGGGCCTTAAATGTTGCTAAACTACCTGTTGTCAAGAACTCTCTCATCCACATGTTAAAATTGGACATCTCAAACATCAATTTATTCATCAGCAACTCTGTTGGGGGTAAGGGATTTGTTCAACACCTCCAATATCATGAGCCCTTAAGCAAGTTGTTTCAAAGCCCCATTCAATATCTTTATCTTAAACATCTAATCAAGTTTCATTACCTCTTCAATACCTTTTTCTTGAGCACTAAATCAAGTTTTACAATATGTTTATTAAGGTTAACACATTTTAAATATCATACTATTGTTTATATTTGCCATGAAGACTTTGTTGAATTTATTTAATTGTGATTTTAAAAAAAAACATGCACACTGTCCAGACTTTAGTTTAACAGTTATGGGAGATATGTATAAAATACTGTAATGCACAGACCTATCTGACCAGGATACTGTTTCTAGTAGCACAATTAAACATGAATTTAACACAATATTTCAGTGTGCGCTATGCTGCGTGTCGACACAGTTGCACTCCTTCACAATGCAGCACAGACTACATTGTGTGTTGATGGAACCAAAGTGCAATATATCATTTGTGATAAGGAAGTAAGCTTGAAATAGTTAGTTGAGTGAAATTATTTATGCTTGCAATATTCCTGTCATTATTATCTTCTATTATTAATAAGTTGGTTGGCTTAGTTCTGCTTATTGTATACAAAAAAACATTTGTTTCTGTTCCAAAAGTTTTTCCCCTTGAATAGATCCAATGAAATCCATAAACCTGCAGCCCACATCCATCAAGTGAAGGTCAAGTTTACACCATCCAACAAGGTGGGGGTCAAATTGCTACCATAATGATATCTTTTAAATGTAAAAACAAAAAAAGAAATGACTATAACTTTGTAATAAAAGCAATTTTAAAAAATATTTTGTAATAATATCAATTTAATAACTATTATTTCAACCTTAACAAAATTTCTTTGATCGATAACAAAATCTTTCTAAAAGTAACAATACATATAACACAATTGCTCTATGTCCATTGCAGACTAATAAAAAGTCATAACAAACTTACATACTTTTTATTTATTTTATAAGTCAATAAGACTGAGTAATACACATCTGTATAGTTAAAAAATGACATCTGTTTGAGTAATACACATCTGTAAAGTTAATGAACTACATTTGTTAAAGTAATACACATCTGTTTAGTTAATGAATGACATCTTTTTAAGTAATACACATCTGTATAGCTAATGAACTACATCTGGCTGGATTGTCTCAGTTACTAATGCAGAGTTAGAAAAAAAAATTGAAACAATTTCCTCACTTGTCAAAATATCATTGAAAAGTTTGTCTGGAATTACCCAGGATTGTTCAAAGAAATTTATCTAATTGAAATCTCAGGGTCTTGCAAATGACTAAATAACTTGTTTCTATGAAAAATTTCTGTATCTGAAATGTTCTTGTAACTGTCCACAGGAGTGCAGAGTTCACATCTTGCAACATCTGACTGTGCAGTGGACAAATGAAGTGCACATGTGTCTAGTCAAAGGAGTGCAGGAGGTCAAGACTCTACAGGCTAGACTATCACTGGCTGATGGAGGTCAGATTGTGTTTTCACTGTATGTACTGTATTACTGGCTGATGAAGGTCAGATTATGCGGTCACTGTATGTACTGTATCACTGGGTGATGGAGGTCAGTTTTTGTGGTTTTACAAATCATGGCTCACGAGCCACATGCAGCTCTTTAGCAACCTGAGTGTGGCTCGGCCAGTTGGCCACAAATCGGTTTTGGCTCCGAAAAACATGGTTCTTGACAAGTTTTTGAAAAGAAATTTGGCTCTCAAAAATTTTTTAATCGTCCTGCTACTGATTTTGGCTCATTTGACTAATGAGTTTGCTGATCACTGGGCTAGACAATCACTGGCTGATGGAGGTCAGTTTATGTGGTCACTGCATTGTGTTACTCAGTGCTGTTCTAAATCACTCAGATAATGTACCCTATAACTAGGATACTATATTCTGTCACTCAGATACAGCAATTTGCCTCTCATATATTGTATACAATCTAAACAAAATTGTCACAACATATATTAATCTTGGCAAAAATATTCTAATTTTCAGATGCCACAAGCCCCTGTGAAAGTATGGCACCCCCACCACATCCTCCCCAGTTGACCACACCTCATTCAGCAGCTCCTTTCAAATCTGACATTTGTATCAATATTTTAATCTTGGCTGAGATTCACCTTGAGGCAAAATTGTCTAAGCAACATATGTAAGTATGAAATTGTCCAAACACCGTACATAAATATCATGTCGTCTAAACAACATACATAAAGAAGTCTTGATCAACACTGACCTTACAGAGGCTTAATTTAGCAGTTCAATGATATGTAAATTTTAAATTGTATTATTTAAAGTTTTTCCTAATTATTTCAACCACAAGAGGAACAGCATTTGACCCAAATTTTTAGGTACTACACATTTTACTTAATCCTTATAAAACAAAAGTTTCAAATTTTACATCACTTAAGGCTTAGTATTCAGACCCAGAATCTTTTAGTGACCATGACCTTGCCTGAAATTCTCATGGAGGTCAAGGATTTCAATATCAAGTGTGATGGAAACAACATTTTCAAGATATCTGTGAGTTGAAAATAATATGCATTAGGACCTGTAAAAAAACAATTACACATAAATAAATTTTTATTATTAGTTGGACTGTCATAAATCTTATGTAAATAATACAACACAAACAGTGTCCACATCTTGGGTGAAGCTTTATTTGTGAAACATAAAATCATTTTTCTGGAGACAAAACGTGTAAAATTATATATTTGTATTTATAAAGTATATATTTGATTGAAAAATGATATACATAGCTGTACAATAACTAAAAACAATAACATAACTCATATGAAAGAATAAATTGAGCAACAGAAGAGATGGTCACCTTTCTTCCATTCCATTTCCTGATTTTGTGACATACACTTGGACAAAACACTGCTGCTCTTTTTGATTTTTGAGTCACGGGTCATTGACACCATTATTTGAAAACATATTAGTGAGAGCAGGTCATTGACACCATTATTTGAATATATATTAGTGAGAGCAGGTCATTGACACCATTATTTGAATACATATTAGTGAGAGCAGGTCATTGACACCATTATTTGAATACATATTATTGAGAGCAGGTCATTGACACCATTATTTGAATACATATTAGTGAGAGCAGGTCATTGACACCTTTATTTGAATACATATTATTGAGAGCAGGTCATTGACACCATTATTTGAATACATATTAGTGAGAGTAGGTCATTGACACCTTTATTTGAATACATATTATTGAGAGCAGGTCATTGACACCATTATTTGAATACATATTAGTGAGAGCAGGTCATTGACACCTTTATTTGAATACATATTAGTGAGAGCAGGTCATTGACACCATTATTTGAATACATATTATTGAGAGCAGGTCATTGACACCATTATTTGAATACATATTAGTGAGAGCAGGTCATTGACACCATTATTTGAATACATATTAGTGAGAGCAAGTCATTAACACCATTATTTGAATACATATTAGTGAGTGCATGTCATTGACACCATTATTTGATTATGTAATTATTGAGTGCAGGTCATTGACACCATTTGTATACATATTAGTGAGAGCAGGTCATTGATACCATTTGAATACATATTAGTGAGTGCAGGTCATTGACACCATTATTTCATTACATGATTACATGATTTTTGAGTAAAGGGTCATTGACACCATTATTTGATTATATAATTATTGAGTGCAGGTCATTGACACCATTATTTGGTTAATTATTCAGGGGTTTCAGCTGGAGACATTGGCTGTGTCATATCTGAAAGTTGAAAGGGAAAGGGCCAAAACATTGCAAAGTCCTACCAACAAAGCTTGGTAAGTGGCTTTCATTTATTGATGTTGTGTGGTTGGGGGGGGGGGTACGTGGGACTTTATGTTTTGATCCATTTGACTTCATGAGATGAGGGGATACCTGTGATTGTATGATGTAATACATGTTACTGTGAGGATACATTTGAATTGTTGTGTGGTTGGGGGGGGGGGGTACGTGGGACTATATGTTGTGATCCATTTGACTTCATGGGATGTGGGGATACATGTGATTGTATGATGTAATACATGTGACTGTGAGGATACATTTGAATATATTTGGGGATACGTGTGACTATATTTAGGATACATGTGACTATATTTGGGATACATGTGACTATATTTGGGATACATGTGACTATATTTGGGATACATGTGACTATATTTGGGATACATGTGACTATATTTGGGATACATGTGACTATATTTAGGATACATGTGACTGTATTTGGGATACATGTGACTATATTTGGGGATACATGTGACTATATTTGGGATACATGTGACTGTATTTGGGGATACATGTGACTATATTTGGGATACATGTGACTATATTTGGGATACATGTGACTATATTTGGGAGACATGTGACTATATTTAGGATACATGTGACTATATTTGGGATACATGTGACTATATTTGGAATACATGTGACTATATTTGGGATACATGTGACTATATTTGGGATACATGTGACTTTATTTGGGATACATGTGAGTATATGTGTGGATACAGGTGACTATATTTGGGGATACATGTGACTATATTTGGGATACATGTGACTATATTTGGGATACATGTGACTATATTTGGGATACATGTGACTATATTTAGGATACATGTGACTATATTTAGGATACATGTGACTATATTTGGGATACATGTGACTATATTTGGAATACATGTGACTATATTTGGGATGCATGTGACTATATTTGGGATACATGTGACTATATTTGGGATACATGTGACTATATTTGGAATACATGTGACTATATTTGGGATACATGTGACTATATTTGGGGATACATGTGACTTTATTTGGGATACATGTGAGTATATGTGTGGATACAGGTGACTATATTTGGGGATACATGTGACTATATTTGGGATACATGTGACTATATTTGGGATACATGTGACTATATTTGGGATACATGTGACTATATTTGGAATACATGTGACTATATTTGGGATGCATGTGACTATATTTGGGATACATGTGACTATATTTGGGATACATGTGACTATATTTGGGATACATGTGACTATATTTGGGGATACATGTGACTATATTTGGGATACATGTGACTATATTTGGGATACATGTGACTATATTTGGGATACATGTGACTTTATTTGGGATACATGTGAGTATATGTGTGGATACAGGTGACTATATTTGGGGATACATGTGACTATATTTGGGATACATGTGACTATATTTGGGATACATGTGACTATATTTGGGATACATGTGACTATATTTGGGATACATGTGACTATATTTGGGATACATGTGACTGTATTTGGGATGCATGTGACTATATTTGGGATACATGTGACTATATTTGGGATACATGTGACTATATTTGGGAGACATGTGACTATATTTGGGATACATGTGACTATATTTGGGGATACATGTGACTATATTTAGGATACATGTGACTATATTTGGGATACATGTGAGTATATGTGTGGATACAGGTGACTATATTTGGGGATACATGTGACTTTATTTGGGATACATGTGAGTATATGTGTGGATACAGGTGACTATATTTGGGGATACATGTGACTATAATTGGGATACATGTGAGTATATGTGGGGGATACATGTGACTATATTTTAGGATTAAATGTCACTAAGGGGGGGGGGATACATGTGACTATATGTTGTGATACATGTGACTTCATGTGGGGATACATGTGATTGTATGATGTAACACATGTGACTGTGAGGATACATTTGAATATATTTGGGATACATGTGACTATATTTAGGATACATGTGACTATATTTGGGATACATGTGACTATATCTGGGATACATGTGACTATATTTGGGGATACATGTGACTATATTTGGGGATACATGTGACTATATTTGGGATACATGTGACTATATTTGGGATACATGTGACTATATTTGGGATACATGTGACTATATTTGGGATACATGTGACTTTATTCGGGATACATGTGACTATATTTGGGATACATGTGACTATAATTGGAATACATGTGACTATATTTGGGATACATGTGACTATATTTGGGATACATGTGACTATATTTGGGATACATGTGACTTTATTTGGGATACATGAGACTATATTTGGGATACATGTGACTATAATTGGAATACATGTGACTATATTTGGGATGCATGTGACTATATTTGGGATACATGTGACTATATTTGGGATACATGTGACTATATTTGGGATACATGTGACTATATTTGGGATACATGTGACTATAATTGGAATACATGTGACTATATTTGGGATGCATGTGACTATATTTGGGATACATGTGACTTTATTTGGGATACATGTGACTATATTTGGGGATACATGTGACTATATTTGGATACATGTGACTATATTTGGAATACATTTGACTATATTTAGGATACATGTGACTATATTTGGGATACATGTGACTATATTTGGGATACATGTGACTATATTTGGGATGCATGTGACTATATTTGGGATACATGTGACTATATTTAGGATACATGTGACTATATTTGGGATGCATGTGACTATATTTGGGATACATGTGACTATATTTGGGATACATGTGACTATATTTGGGATACATGTGACTATTTTTAGGATACATGTGACTATTTTTAGGATACATGTGACTATATTTGGAATACATGTGACTATATTTAGGATACATGTGACTATATTTGGGATACATGTGACTATATTTGGGGATACATGTGACTATATTTGGGATACATGTGACTAGATTTGGAATACATGTGAGTATATGTGTGGATACAGGTGACTATATTCGAGATGCATGTGACTATAATTGGGATACATGTGAGTATATGTGGGGGATACATGTGACTATAATTGGGATACATGTGAGTATATGTGGGGGATACATGTGACTATAATTGGGATACATGTGAGTATATGTGGGGGGTACATGTGACTATAATTGGGATACATGTGAGTATATGTGGGGGATACATGTGACTATAATTGGGATACATGTGCCTATATTTGGGATACATGTGACTATATTTGGAATACATGTGACTTTATTTTGGATACATGTGACTATATTTGGAATACATGTGACTTTAATTGGGATGCATGTGAGTATATGTGGGGGATACATGTGACTATATTTGGAATACATGTGACTATATTTGGGATACATGTGACTATATTTGGAATACATGTGACTATAATTGGGATGCATGTGAGTATATGTGGGGGATACATGTGACTATAATTGGGATACATGTGAGTATCTGTGGGGGATACATGTGACTATATTTGGGATACATGTGACTATATTTGGAATACATGTGACTATATTTGGGATACATGTGACTATATTTGGGATACATGTGACTATATTTGGGATACATGTGACTATATTTGGGATACATGTGACTATATTTGGGATACATGTGACTATATTTGGGATACATGTGACTATAATTGGGATACATGTGACTATATTTGGGATACATGTGAGTATATGTGTGGATACAGGTGACTATATTTGAGATGCATGTGACTATAATTGGGATACATGTGAGTATATGTGGGGGATACATGTGACTATAATTGGGATACATGTGAGTATATGTGGGGGATACATGTGACTATATTTGGGATACATGTGAGTATATGTGGGGGATACATGTGACTATAATTGGGATACGTGTGAGTATATGTGGGGGATACATGTGACTATATTTGGGATACATGTGACTATATTTGGGATACATGTGACTATATTTGGGGATACATGTGACTATAATTGGGATACATGTGACTATAATTGGAATACATGTGACTATAATTGGGATACATGTGACTTTATTTGGGATACATGTGACTATATTTGGGATACATGTGACTATAATTGGGATACATGTGACTATATTTGGGATACATGTGACTATATTTGGGATACATGTGACTATATTTGGGATACATGTGACTATAATTGGGATACATGTGACTTTATTTGGGATACATGTGACTATATTTGGGATACATGTGACTATAATTGGGATACATGTGACTATATTTGGGATACATGTGAGTATAATTGGGATGCATGTGAGTATAATTGGGATACATGTGACTTTATTTGGGATACATGTGACTATATTTGGGATACATGTGACTATAATTGGGATACATGTGACTTTATTTGGGATACATGTGACTATATTTGGGATACATGTGACTATAATTGGGATACATGTGACTATATTTGGGATACATGTGAGTATAATTGGGATGCATGTGAGTATAATTGGGATACATGTGACTTTATTTGGGATACATGTGACTATATTTGGGATACATGTGACTATAATTGGGATACATGTGACTTTATTTGGGATACATGTGACTATATTTGGGATACATGTGACTATAATTGGGATACATGTGACTATATTTGGGATACATGTGACTATATTTGGGATACATGTGACTATAATTGGGATACATGTGACTTTATTTGGGATACAAGTGACTATATTTGGGATACATGTGACTATAATTGGGATACATGTGACTATATTTGGGATACATGTGACTATATTTGGGATACATGTGACTATAATTGGGATACAAGTGACTATATTTGGGATACATGTGACTATAATTGGGATACATGTGACTATATTTGGGATACATGTGACTAGATTTGGAATACATGTGACTAGATTTGGGATACATGTGACTGTATTTGGGATACATGTGACTATAATTGGGATACATGTGACTATATTTGGGATACATGTGACTATAATTGGGATACATGTGACTATATTTGGGATACATGTGACTATATTTGGGATACATGTGACTATATTTGGAATACATGTGACTATATTTGGGATACATGTGACTATATTTTGGGATACATGTGACTATATTTTTGGGATACATGTGACTATATTTGGGATACATGTGACTATATTTGGGATACATGTGACTATATTTGGGATACATGTGACTATATTTGGGATACATGTGACTATATTTAGGATACATGTGACTATATTTTTGGGATACATGTGACTATATTTGGGATACATGTGACTATATTTGGGATACATGTGACTATATTTGGGATACATGTGACTATATTTGGGATACATGTGACTATAATTGGAAAACATGTGACTATATTTGGGATGCATGTGACTATATTTGGGATACATGTGACTTTATTTGGGATACATGTGACTATATTTGGGGATACATGTGACTATATTTGGGATACATGTGACTATATTTGGAATACATGTGACTATATTTAGGATACATGTGACTATATTTGGGATACAAGTGACTATATTTGGGGATACATGTGACTATATTTGGGATGCATGTGACTATATTTGGGATACATGTGACTATATTTAGGATACATTTGACTATATTTGGGATGCATGTGACTATATTTGGGATACATGTGACTAGATTTGGAATACATGTGAGTATATGTGTGGATACAGGTGACTTTATTCGAGATTATACATGTGACTATATTTGGGATACATGTGACTATATTTGGGATACATGTGACTATAATTGGAAAACATGTGACTATATTTGGGATGCATGTGACTATATTTGGGATACATGTGACTTTATTTGGGATACATGTGACTATATTTGGGGATACATGTGACTATATTTGGGATACATGTGACTATATTTGGAATACATGTGACTATATTTAGGATACATGTGACTATATTTGGGATACAAGTGACTATATTTGGGGATACATGTGACTATATTTGGGATGCATGTGACTATATTTGGGATACATGTGACTATATTTAGGATACATTTGACTATATTTGGGATGCATGTGACTATATTTGGGATACATGTGACTAGATTTGGAATACATGTGAGTATATGTGTGGATACAGGTGACTTTATTCGAGATACATGTGACTATATTTGGAATACATGTGACTATATTTGGGATACATGTGACTATATTTTGGGATACATGTGACTATATTTTTGGGATACATGTGACTATATTTGGGATACATGTGACTATATTTGGGATACATGTGACTATATTTGGGATACATGTGACTATATTTGGGATACATGTGACTATATTTGGGATACATGTGACTATATTTGGGATACATGTGACTATATTTGGGATACATGTGACTATATTTGGGATACATGTGACTATATTTGGGATACATGTGACTATATTTGGGATACATGTGACTATATTTGGGATACATGTGACTATATTTGGGATACATGTGACTATATTTGGGATACATGTGACTATATTTGGGATACATGTGACTATATTTGGGATACATGTGACTATATTTGGGATACATGTGACTATATTTGGGATACATGTGACTATATTTGGGATACATGTGACTATATTTGGGATACATGTGACTATATTTGGGATACATGTGACTATATTTGGGATACATGTGACTATATTTGGGATACATGTGACTATATTTGGGATACATGTGACTATATTTGGGATACATGTGACTATATTTGGGATACATGTGACTATATTTGGGATACATGTGACTATATTTGGGATACATGTGACTATATTTGGGATACATGTGACTATATTTGGGATACATGTGACTATATTTGGGATACATGTGACTATATTTGGGATACATGTGACTATATTTGGGATACATGTGACTATATTTGGGATACATGTGACTATATTTGGGATACATGTGACTATATTTGGGATACATGTGACTATATTTGGGATACATGTGACTATATTTGGGATACATGTGACTATATTTGGGATACATGTGACTATATTTGGGATACATGTGACTATATTTGGGATACATGTGACTATATTTGGGATACATGTGACTATATTTGGGATACATGTGACTATATTTGGGATACATGTGACTATATTTGGGATACATGTGACTATATTTGGGATACATGTGACTATATTTGGGATACATGTGACTATATTTGGGATACATGTGACTATATTTGGGATACATGTGACTATATTTGGGATACATGTGACTATATTTGGGATACATGTGACTATATTTGGGATACATGTGACTATATTTGGGATACATGTGACTATATTTGGGATACATGTGACTATATTTGGGGATACATGTGACTATAATTGGGATACATGTGACTATAATTGGAATACATGTGACTATAATTGGGATACATGTGACTTTATTTGGGATACATATGACTATATTTGGGATACATGTGACTATAATTGGGATACATGTGACTATATTTGGGATACATGTGACTTTATTTGGGATACATGTGACTATATTTGGGATACATGTGACTATATTTGGGATACATGTGACTATATTTGGGATACATGTGACTATAATTGGGATACATGTGACTTTATTTGGGATACAAGTGACTATATTTGGGATACATGTGACTATAATTGGGATACATGTGACTATATTTGGGATACATGTGACTATATTTGGGATACATGTGACTATAATTGGGATACAAGTGACTATATTTGGGATACATGTGACTATAATTGGGATACATGTGAGTATATGTGGGGGATACATGTGACTATAATTGGGATACATGTGAGTATATGTGGGGGATACATGTGACTATATTTTAGGATAAAATGTCACTAATGTTTATTCTGGATGCTATGTTAGTGTTGACCAATGATCTAACTCTCTATATTCTGACCTAACATGCTATGACAGGAGCATCTCATTTGACAGTGTAGAGATCTTGTTTCCCCACCAGTACAACTTTGCTGACTGCTATGAGGAGGTGAGTTTTACCCAGAATTCATTTGGATGTTTTAGTCCACAGCATAAATAAATAAAGAATGATACATTCTGAAAACTCATGGAGGATAATAAATAATTGTAGTACTTGCTGAATGAGGTGTATGTTGTGCACTTACTGAATAAGGAGAATGTTGTGTACTTGCTGAATAAGGAGAATGTTGTGTACTTACTGAATAAGGAGAATGTTGTGTACTTACTGAATAAGGAGAATGTTGTGTACTTGCTGAATAAGGAGAATGTTGTGTACTTACTGAATAAGGAGAATGTTGTGTACTTGCTGAATAAGGAGAATATGTGTACTTACTGTATAAGGAGAATGTTGTGTACTTGCTGAATAAGGAGAATGTTGTGTACTTGCTGAATGAGGAGAAAGTTGTGTACTTGCTGAATAAGGAGAATGTTGTGTACTTGCTGAATGAGGAGAATGTTGTGTACTTGCTGAATGAGGAGAAAGTTGTGTTATTGCTGAATGAGAAGAATGTTGTGTACTGGTGAATGAGGAGAATGTTGTGTACTTGCTGAATGAGGAGAATGTTGTGTACTTGCTGAATGAGGAGAATGTTGTGAAATTGCTAAATGATAAGAATTTTTTGTTGTTTAGAAATGGAGATGTTACCATATTTTCTAAATGACTTCTTTGTGTGATCTCATTAGGTCATTAACACTGTAATCTAAATCACTTTTTTTTTTATTGCTCTCAAACCTCTGATTAGGTCATTAACACTGTGAAATGGTTGAAGCTGGTTCATAAAATGAAGAGGCAACCTTTCACAGCTGAAAGCCCGTTACCTCCTGACTTGACCTTATCCATTAAGGTAATCACATTTTAACCCTATAACAGTCATATTGGCAGATCATGGGATGTTAAACCCCTTTCTGTGATCTCATAGCCTCTAGCAAAATCGTCATTAAAAATGCGAATGATTTAATGTATATTGATTAAGGAGAATATGATTAAATCAGAGAATTATTAAATCTTATCACGATTGAAAGAAAATAATCATAAAATAATTTATAAAAAATAATTATTAAATACTTAATTTTTTTTTCTTCAGATGTTGTCAATAGAAATGAGTGATAACCCATTTGAAGTAAAGATGGGACTTAACTATGAGGTAATATCAATTGTATGTTGTTTGATTGTGTCATATTACTTAAAGATGAGATATGAATCTTTTAATTGATCCAAATAACTGGAACTGTTTTTTTTTTTTTTTACATTGCACATGATCATTTTTAGCTCATAAATAAATACATAGTTTAATCAAGACATTTTACACTTATAACAATTTAAACAGGAGCAGATTTCAAAACTGTATTTTTTTAAGATAGTAGCTCTTGAATTTTTGTTGTGCCCGCTGAGTTTTTGAATGAATTTGTACTGACTTAAATGTTTGTGTATGAAAAAATGTATACTGTGACAGAAAAACATCTACCATAAGAGGAATCGCCCCAAACTACCAGCACATTAATATTTGAGTTCACAACTCATGTTTTAATGAAACTTGAACAAATCTGCTTGTTTCTTGGTGATGTGTCATTAAGGAAAACATTGCTGTGTGGTGTTAACACAAAATAAGCATTGACTTGGTTTTTTTTCTTCAGCTCTTGAAAGATGAAGGTATTGAAAGTAAGAAAAGAAAAGAAGTGATGGACATGAAATTGATGGATCTACAGAAAAAGCAATTTATTCCAGGTAAGGATTATTTTAATTTATTTATTCATTTGGCAAAGTTTGGGATCACACCTCTTTATAAATTTGACCCTATGTGGAGATAATAATAAGAATTCTCAGATTAATATTATTATTTATTTATTTGGCAAAGGTTAAGATCACACCTTTTTTTAAAAATTGGACCATTTACGGAGATAATAATGACAATTCTCAGATTTGATAGTATTATTTATTAAACGAACAAATAAAAGCAACATACACATACTTTGATAATGTTAGGTAAACCTTCAGATCAAATAAGAGGTTATAAAACATTTTAAAATAATCTCAATTTCATTCATCTCAAAAAAAAAAAAAAGCAAAAGAAATAATATTTTAAAGGAATTTACTAATAACTATTTACAAATATTCAATGTTATTTTATGAATTTTGACTTAATCATTAAACATAAGGAAACAAATTCTGTTTTGCCTAATTTTGAACACTATCTTGCAGTAAACAAAAGAGAAGAACTGTATGCCAGTCTCCACAAGAAAAGTTCAGAAATCTACATTCAGCGGTCACAGAAGCTCTGCAATGATGCACCAATCAGAACGCAGCTCTTCACCTGGTTGATGGAGGATGTACAAATCACAGCATTGGCTGACGTATCATTCCATGGCAAGGACAACGTACTCAAACATATGCAGGAGATTGATAAGGAAAGGTAGGATTAAATGGTTGAAATAACTTTTTTGTGAATAAACCAGGTTTTGGTGAATAGTTTCTGCGCAGTCTGGGTTACTATCAATTTTAATTGTACATACATTTCCTGGAAATCGATTTATATTTTAAAAATTTTTTTTTTTTAAATCCGCTCTTTTTAAATGAGGTCAATAAGCTATCCTACAGTCCTATAGCATAACATAAAATTAGTTAATATGTTGCCTGCATATCAATTACTGCCAATTAAGAAAAGTGTCACATATTTGTAGAGATCTATACAGTGAAAATAGCAGCATCAATTTAATCACTTGAACGTGCTGTCTTGAAGGATTGAACCAGTTTTAATTGTGAAATTTTCTTGTTTTTTTCCAGCCCCTTCCCTAAAGAAGCCATTGATTTTGTGACCCTGTGGTGTCGTTACATCAATGCTAGTGTTAAACTCTGGTCTGTGTCACTCAGGGATTTCCCCCGTCCTATGATTGATGTACAGAACAAACATGTTTGGGGACGTCTGATTGGAGCTGAGAGGGATGGAACAAAACGAGGTTTCTTGGTTATCAAATTTTTAAATTTAATAACTTTAAAAAAAAATATATATTGAATCTGCTTGATCTCTTTTATTAGACTTAAATTTGTGCTATATGTGTCCATGGTAAATGTTCACTTCATGTTTCCATGGTGTATGTCTATGGTATATGTTCACTTCATGTTTCCATGGTGTATGTCTATGGTATATGTTCACTTCATGTTTCCATGGTGTATGTCTATGGTTTATGATTATTTCATGTGTCCGTGGTACATTTTCATTTTATATGTCAATGGTATGTGTGCCATGGTAAATGTTCATTTATGTGTCCATGGTGTGTACCCACATAAAAGGAATATTTACCATGGCCGGATAAAATTACCATGGTACATACTATGGACATATGAGATGAACATTTACCATGGTACACATCAGGGATGCATAAAATGGACATATACCATGGACACATAAAATAAACATTTACTATGATACAAACAATGGACATATAAAATGAGCATTTACCAACATATTAGAAGGTGTATGCAGGGAGGGAGTATTCATGAAATTTCTTGTAGCTGTTTTATAAATAATGCTAAGTTGGGTGTGTGGATAAAGTGTTAAAAGATTTTTTAAATTTTTACTTTAATGTTTGACACCCTATTAGCTTACTATCACAATCTTTGCAATAAAAGAAAAACCGCTTCAGGGAAATAATTTTTACACATAAAATGAACATTTACTTTTCCTGTATTTAAATTAACAAAGAGAAATATATAGGCTATCATCCAGTGGCGTAGCTAGGGTTGGTGTCACCCGGTGCGGTAAACTCATGGTGTCACCCCCCCCCCCACCCCCAATTTCCATGATGATTTTTTTCTTGTTAAATATAAGTCCACAATATTGCAATAACAAGAACAAAACTGAATAAATCGAAGGTCATGAAGTTAATATATTTAAAAACGTTAAGTTATAGCTGTATTTAATTTAAATTTACAATTTAAAATTTTCCCTCCCTTGTCTTCAAAGCTGCAAACCTGTCAATCACTTGATCAAAATCAATGTTTTTCACTGTATCACTTTCAATTGATAGCAGAGCCACATCAGAAAACCTTGACTGTCACATGGTGGATCATAAATATTTCTTGATAAGCCTTGGTTTTGAAAAGCTCCGCTCACATGAAGCCACATACACACATATCGTAAGAAAAAAATTAAAGGCTTATCGAGAGTATTGGAAGAGATTCTAGGAAGTCCCATTCAGCTTTGAATTTCAAAACATTAAATACTGACCAGTCCATGACTTTGAGAAATCAGCTGCTTTTAGATGTCATCTAAGGCTTAATATTTCTTTTTAAAGTTCATTGTCTGTTTTCTGATAACTCATCATTGAAAGAAGTTTATTTTGGAACGGACACCAATACATCTTCTTCACTTGCTGATACTAGACTCTTGGGTTGAACAGACCCAAACGTATCTGGTACTTCCTTGATCACCGATATTCTGATCTGGAGTTCAGAATGAAAGCGATCAATATACTCCAGCATCTCCCTACTGTTTTCCTCTCCCAGAAAGAGTCCAGCATCTATTAATTAATAGTTCTCCTGCCATACTCTTCTTAAACCTTAATCTTCTCTCTACCGAAATTCCATATTGGTCTGATTTTTAAAGTTCCTTATCAATAGCATGTTCCACCAAGGGACCAGTCTTCTTGTGCAGAAACAATCTTAAGGCCTCTAGGTTTGCCACCACTTTGTCAAGAGTAATCCCTTAAATCTGCAGATACTGCTGGGTAAGATTAACTTCCTCAAGTAGATCAGCCCAAAGTTAAAGGTAGCAGATAAACATGAAAGCACAGAAAGCATGGAAAATATCTTATGCTTAACCTCTTGTATGCACATTTTTACAAGGTGACACATTCATCAAACTCATCTTTCCCTGTTTTAACAGCAGCATGATGAGCACTCCAACGCGCTGTTGGCAGTCTTTTCTACGACATTCCAGTGTGATGAATTAGAACATTCCATCGATTATTGGATGCATCAAAGAAGGAAAACATTCTTTCAAGAGTACCGAATAATGTAATACATGAAGGATTTTCTGCAAAAGAGTGTTGACCACACAAGTGAATGACCCACACATCCTTTAAAAATTGCTTTCTTATTATTTCTTTTCCGAATGGCTTGAACACCTCCATGGATTCCATACTTTAGGGCAGCATTATCGTAACCCTGAGCTCTGAACATCATTATGTCTAGTCCATCACGCTTTAGATAAATATAGCCTTCTGCCATTTAAGGAAGTTACCGAACACTTCAAACGGCATGGAATAATGACTGTGTTTTTCTCACCTAAACATAGGGTCATCACATTTCTGACGCTTCAACCTTGAACTTTTAATAAAGCACGCATTTGGATTGGTTACATTTGTGAAAAATATATGTGTGATCAATTATTCTTTTATGAATCTCGGTTTTTTGCTAGCAATGTGCGCCCTGTAAATATGCAATTTTTCAATCGGGTGTCACCCCTAAAATGGTGTCACCCAGTGCGGTCCGCACCCCCCGCACCTGCCTCGCTACGCCACTGGTGTGTCTGTCTGCTGCTGATGGCTGGTCAGAATGTTAGCACATTTTGTTAGTGCATGAGAAGTCAAAAGTTGGCCTCTCTTGGCAAGTGTAATGCAAGAAGCTGCCAGGAGACAGAGAGAGCTTATGGCAAATATTGCTCACACAGACAATGCTTCTTTTTTAAGTGTTGAATGGTTAGATGAGAATGATGTTGACTTGCCTTAAATCAGCGCCTATGCCCATTGTTACAATAGAGCAACACCTAGCTACTCCCTGGGAAGATGATAGCAGCTAGAAACTATGCTACAAATGGCAGCCATACTGACAATAATCATATTTATACTTCCACAAATAATTATACTTAATTTGCTGTTAAATCCACCTCTATGTTTCATTGTTCATAATTTTATATCTAAGAAAAAACAATAGTGATGATTGATAACTTGTATAGAACCTGTGTCCATGCTATTCTAGTATGCTCACAGCGCTCTGATGTCATAAAATCTATTTAAAGAAAAAAGTCTTTAAATGTTTCTTAAATAATTTTTATCACTTTTAATTTCCCTCGAAGCCTGAGGCAAACTGTTCCATAATTTAAGTGTTACTGTTTCGTATAGCGCACTCCGCATGACTTATTTTTGTGTCCATCCACACTGGGAACCCTAAGCAGGGACTGTGATGAAGAGTGCAGGTTCTTTAAGGATACATATTTGGAAATCAGTTATTTTAGATAGTCTGGTGCAGAGCCTCTCAAGAAGCCATTAGAGATCTTTAAGAACTGGGGTGATGTGGTCAGATTGCTTTATCCCGGATACAATGCGTGCTGCAATATTTTGAATCTTTTGGAGTCTCTGAAGTTTGGTTTTGAGGTAAACCAAACAGACAACTGTTACAGTAATCTAATCTTGATTTGATTATAGTGACTGCTATGGCATTGGCTGTTCTCTTATTAAGTTGAGGATGCGGCTGACCCAGGGCACTTAAATGACAGAAACTAGCCCTGACCACAGAACTGATACTAGGAATCATTGTGAGTTAACTGTCAGTGTAGAAGCCAAGGTCTCTAACAGTGTTGAACAAGATATCTCAGAAGCACCAACTTTTATTGATGCAATGGCAACCTTCTAAAGATTGGCATTAGAGCCTTATATAATTGCCTCTGTCTTATCATCATTTAATTTAAGTCTGTTTGATGCCATCTATGATTTCACCACAAGACAACAAACAATATGCTATTACATGTTTCACTATTCATTTACTTAACACTGCTAGAATGCAAGCCCTCATGTAATAAACATTAAAATTGATGGCTGATCATAACTTTGAACATGGAAGGTTATTTATCTTTAAAAGGAAGAATAAAAATTATAGCATAATTTTAATACTATTATTATTATTATAGGAATGAATATTAGATATCTTTAGTTGTAATTCATTTCTACAGACTACAATAGTAAATAATAATTATATCAATTAGTAATAATGTAGATCTATATCGAGTAAAATTAAGAGACTAATAGAATTTTTGTCGGATATGGTCAATGGCACTGAAAAATATAATTTTAAAATGTATGTTTCATTTATTTCTTTTTGGTCAAATTTAAAGACTTTATTCTTAATACTTACTACATCAGATCCAATAAAAAAAATAAAAATAATTTGACTATATAGTTTTGTAATTCTAGCGAGTAAAGGTAACAGTTGCGTGTAAGGAAAAAACTCAATTTAAATGTTAGTCCCATGAAATTAATGGTCCATAAAGAACGCCTACTGATAATTATTTTAACCTATTATTATTAAAATAGGTATTGTCCCCCATCATCCCACCTCTCAATTCATCATAGAATCTTATGTGCTAATACTTTCCTTTTGTTCCCTTTGCCTGTGTGCAACTCTCCTAAGTCAGAAAACTATAAATGGGGTCTTGGAATTGGCATGTTCAATTTAAAATTTTAATATTTTTTTATTGAGACAATTTAGATATATATTTTTTATGAAGGTTTCCAATATGTAAAATTGCATGCATAATGATTTGACTAACGGACATGAATTTTATAGCTATGACGTACCGGTAGTAGAAGATAAAACAAATAATTATACAAACTGAACCAATGAACTTAACATACATGTCATCAAAAATTATATTTTCATCATTATTTCAAAGGAAACTAGATCATATCACTTGGCATGTATGCCAAGCTGTGTCATTTAAATGGTATCAACCTTTCAAAATTAATAGTTAAAAAAAAAAGGTTACCCTGTATGTTGCCCTCAAGTCAATCCACCTGTCTAGGACTGGAGGTCTCATGATTTGTTTTCTTTTGATTTCATAATGCAGACATACTCCTAAATCCCAATCTATCAAAATGAAACTGTGTTAGTATGATGATAATTGTATCCATCAGTTTAATATTGGAATTTGAATGTCCAAAATGCAGTTTGCCATATGTATTGGTAAAACTTCATTTATAAACTGTCAATTTTTCTTAATAAAAAAATTTCTAGCACACTTTTTAAATAAAGAATATATAACATGAGACTGTTTAGCATTGCTTTTAAATACATTCTTGACAATATGTTAAAATAGTATAATTTAATTCATTCATCACAATAGGTAAATGAAAACTTCAGTGTGATTTAAAGAATAAAAAAATTGTCAAATTAAAAGAAAACATATTTACATATTGTAACAGCACGTCTTACCTGACCATGTCACAAAGGCAGCCATTTTTCTATCATCAACAGTATTATTTATATTATCATTTGCACAGACAATGCCTTTATCTTTCTGCAGTCCATTCAGCCAGCTTGTAAATTTCCTCAGACAGAGATTCAGGGGAATACCATTGTCAACCTGAATCTAAAAATATAGTGATTAACATTTTGTGGCTAGTTTAAGTAGAATTAATGAAAATAATTAATTTACAGAATAATATTAACTTCTTTTATCCATATTACCCAGAAATCATATGGAATAGAAAGATTTCAAATTTTTTTCTACTGGTATAAAATTTTACAGAAGAATAAATCAATGGTGGTTCCCACTAGTCCTTGGGTACCATTAACCATATGTCAGTCTGATTTGAAAAAAATCATAAACAATTATTAAGCTATTTTTTTTAAATACAGTAATATTATTAAAAAACAAACAGTGGGATTCCGATCTATGTAAATGAATCTGATTCCTTTCATCCTAATTAGGTGCAAAGCCAGATTTCTTCACGGCACAGAATTGATTGTACTTGCTGCTGCTGCTGGAAGGACTGCAATGCAATCATTTAAGTTGTAACTTACTAATGAAATATAAAAACACATGGATCGGTACTATTTTGACTGATATTTGATATGGTCATAAAACTGTTGACTACTGGGAATCCCAGTTAAGTTTTAAATATAATTTTGAAACAAAAAGTGTGAATGAAATTGTTTTCTTTACCTGAGTTATTCCAGTGAGTTGTTGGCAAAAATGACTGAGAAATGGCATTTCAGTTGGCTGTAAGTAGTAATGGAATTCACTTTCTATTTCACCCGTTTTGGTGTTCATTAGAATGGCTGGAAACTCAACTGGCAAAAATTAAAATCAGCTAGAACAAGTGTATTGGTAAAGTCTATGAACAGATTTAAAAAAAAACTTTTTCAAACTGTGGCTTTACATAATTATGAGATTTTAAATTGAGAATATGTAACTTAAATTTCACAAAAAAAAAAAAATGTTTATTCACTGATTTCTTGAGGACTGTGTTTTTCATTTTCCCAACAAGTTGATTCAAAATCAATGATTATCAAGTGAGAAAAAATCTGACCTGTAAGAAAAAAATTATGATGAAAGGGTAAATTTACTTTTCCTCTTATTAGCAAAAAACAATTATATAAAGAAATAGTAAAATTACAATATTCAGGATTCATACCCAATAACAATTTCTGCTAATCTCATTGTGAAATAAATATTTGAGTTATAAATAATTCACCTTCGCCAGGACAAATATTTTTCAAATTAATGACATTATGCGATAAAATTAATAATAATATTATTGTTCGAAATAAATCCCTTACCAGATAGAAGCCTTTTTTTACTTAGTCTGTTGGGGGTGTTAGGCAATGGACGCTTTCGCAAAAAACCCAGCTCTCTATGACCAAAAAAGAAAAGAAAAGCCATTGATGAGTTTTCAGCTCCAGATAATTATTTCTTATGTCCCAGCTTGACTCCAACTCTTCACATATATATATCCTGGTTTCAACTCCAACTGTGTATTTATAGCTGTAGCTAATTAGGGGCTAAATTAAATTAGGTGGGCTATGTAATTGAAATTATCAAATGCTGTAAAGCAGTGGTTCCCAACATTTTGCACTCATGGAGCCCTTCTTAGAATCTATCTCCATGGGGGAGCCGCTTAGGACTTCAAGCTATCATATGTCTGAAAAGTTAATAGTGTTTAGAAGTTTCCTAGAGTGGATGCAGGGCCTCTGAGAAATGCGCACGGAGCCCTAAGAGATCCATGGAGCACAGGATAAGAACCACAGCTGTACAGCACTGGAGATTCAGCAGGGACATCCTAAATTAACAGGTTGGCCTATGTGTAAAATGGCAGAGGTTTTCATTCTTTTACTAAGTCCTATCTTATTATACTTTTAAGTTTAAGACAAAAATAGGGTGCCTAATATACCCTTCATAAAGTTTTAGTGAAGTCTTTACCATGTTATCATTTCATTAGTTTCAGGTAAAACAAATAAATAAATACATCAGTAAATCACTTTGGCCCTACCTAATACTACTAAGAGTACAGTTAACACTCAGACTAACATACTTTTTTTTTTATTAGGAGTACCTCACTCTCACAACTCTCAAACAACTCAGAATGGATAATGATACAGCAGATAAAAATAATGACTAGTATTTAGAATTCTTTAGTTGTCCAGTTTAAGTTAAGGTCCCCATATTCAAATGTGTGATATGCACTTTGAATGTTCCAGTTGTCTAGTTTTAATGTAAACTTTAAATTTTACTTTATGATAATTAATTTCCGACGTATAAATGCCTGGAAGACAGCCTGCTCCGACAACCATTGTCAATCCAAATGCAATTGTAAGTCAGAACACGTCAGCAAAATGACAAGCACAACCTGGTGTCCCTGTTGCCAGAAATGTCTGATACAGAAGTATGCATACATTGGCTAACTGAAGATGGATTAATTTCTAACACGTTCCCCTGTTTTGTGCTACTTGTCAACAGCTTTGCCGTCTAAAGACCCATGGCGGCAGTGCAGCTGGTAAGAAGTGCCCTGACTGTGATTTAAAAAATACAGGGTTCTTTCTTCAGCAGCAGCCACCTGTCATTTTGACCCTAATGATCCTGAGGTACACACACAGACATTAGAGAATACGTGGATGATGGAAAAAAGCACCAGTTTAGAACCTTTGGGTCAGGGGAACTGTTTCCGTCATCATGAATCTTTCGGCATACCAGTAAGTCAATAAGTACAAGAATGGGCACTCCCCAGAACGGTGGTCCCAAATTAAAAATAGAATACTATTCATTAGAAAGTGTCCAACTACCAGCCTAATAGGCGCTGATAATTGGTGACTTAAATGTATTCTTTTTTTTTTTAAAGATCTTCATTAACCTCTTCATCATCATCATCTAGAAAAAAAAAGATGAAAATACAAGAGAAAAATTTTTTAATACGGTGTTCAACAAGCCACACTAACCAAAGCATACAGTAGTACCTTCTGCATTGTGTCAACACAGTGTCATAAGTTTTTAGAATGTTCCTGACAAAACAGTATTTGAAATATGAACTGGCTCCTGCCGGCCATGGTAATGTTTATTTTATATTATTACAAGCAATAATTAGTCTGCAAACAAAATTTGAAGTAAAAAATTACGTCACCATTTAGCAGCGGCTAGTAGGCCAGTAGCTGGACACTTTCTAACGAAAAGTATTCTATTTTTTATTTGGGATCGCCGTTCTGAAGAGTGCCCAAAAGAATTATGATTATACTATGTTCTGTAATCTGTGGTTTCTTGGCTATGGTTGCTCACAATTTAACTATTATCCATGATCACTTTTTTTACTGCTTTATGCTGAAATAAAGTGCTTAAAAATTGTCATTTCATTAATCACTGCACATCTTGTTAATTTGGGCACCTTAACTGGACAATTAATTACCATTACCAAGAATTCGTTATATGATTACTTAGTTTAGTTATAAAATAATGAATTTAATATTTTAATTGTAATGGTGACAAAGAATAAATCATAAACTATGATTGATAAACATTCTATACTGATCTATACTGTATCGTCTATCTAAACTTGAACTTGACTTAGTCTATTAGTATAATAGTATTAATAGTCCAGGGTATAAAAATGTAGATGAATTTGGTAGGCTTAGGTCTAGATCTTATTAAATCCTAAAATTAATAATGTTCTTCTTCTTCTTCTATATATTAAGGGCCCACGATCAATTTATTGATCATTTTGACTCCTATGCACGTAGAGGGGATTTGCAATGTTTCTATGCCTGGTGTTGATGAGGATATTTCACTGATTGCAAGTGCCACTTTGTGAGGGAATCATGCACTGGGCCTGGGGGTTTAAAGGCTTGAGGCAATAGACACAATGTTATCGCCTCAACTGTTCCTTTTGAAAGCTTGCTCCAGTCCCTGATTGTATTGGGCGGGAATGAGCAACTCCTATACTGGCTTCTTGCTGGAATGAGCCTGAATTGCCTGTCATAGCCTCGTCGCTATCTATGGGGGAGAGGGACAAGTTTCTGTTTAATACTGGAACAGTGGACCAGCCCATTATTTATCTTGTTCATCATGGAGAGCCTGGATTGTCGTCGTCTTTCCTCCAAAGGTGGCCAGCCTAGTGTTTCCAGCATGCTGCCAACACTAGAGGTATTCCTGTAGCGGTTCAGGACAAATAGTGCTGCCCGTCGCTGGACCACCTCCAACCTGTCAATGCTCTCTGGGTAAATGGGTCCCAGACTGAAGATGCATAATCTAAAACCGGACGGACAAAGACAAAGGCTTTACAGGCTCTTTCTTTTACACAGGAGTTGCCAATCTTTAGATTTCGCCTTAAGAACCCCAGGGTCTTGTTACATACTTACTCATACTAGTCACACTCATACATTGTTACTATGGTCGTCCCAGTGGACCTCTCTTTGAATGGTAACACCCAGGTACTTTACGGAGGAAACTGGCTCAAGTATATGGCCGTGCAGTTCATATTGGTAGTGCAGAGGAGTACAACTTCTAGAAACTGATAGTCACATAGTGTCTGGCACTTGGCCCGGGTCAAATTCCATGTCCCAGCTAGTCTCCCACTCAGCCAACAGATTGAGATCCTGTTGTAGCTGGTCCTGTTATTTGCCTATGCGGCACTGTCATTCACTATGCCTAGCCGCTCGGCATAGTGAATGATAGTGCTGCATAGAACCTATTAATATTATCACTAGGCACTTTGATGAAAATTTCTAAACATTTTAAAAAATATAAAACTACTACAGCTGTATAGAGCCAATAGAGTGGTTTACAAAAACACCAAGATCAACTTTCTAGCTCAAGTGGTTCAAAAGTTATGAATTTTTTAGTATGGACCTCAAAAGCACTTTTTCACTATGGGATTTTCCTCCACATTTCGTCCCCCTTATATTGCTATTGTTTTTATGCCTATAACTTTGTTATAAAATGAGACAAAAATATAATATTTACAGGGAACACAGTTAAATATGAGTTCTTCAAAATTAAGCCACAAAATACAATTGTAGCTTTTGTTAATATTCCGCAAAAAAATATTTTTAATCTTGATAATTTTCCTTATTAAAATGTATCAAATATGCTGACTCGTCACTTATTTGTATTTAATTAATATATTTTTTAAAAACACATATATATTAAATTTCCCTAATTTTATAACAATAATAATATTCTTTAGATATTAATTTCAAATTTTCAATGGAATTGTTTAACATTTATAAGTATCAAATAATAATACAGGGATTATTTGATTCCTTTATCTAAAATTGACAATTATACTTTTTATTTTTCCATTTTCTATATATGTATTTTTAGTCTCATTTGAATATGACCAAAAAAATAGCAGATTCTTTATTTTAAGTTAGTAATCTTGTTTCACAAATCAAAATGTATCAACTTTGACAGTTGATAGAAATTAAAATAAGTTCTAGTCATTTGCTTGAGGTAAGTACAAGCTTTTATGATTATTCTTTAATAATATCTTAAGAAATTCTTGGATCACTGTGGCAGAGTGTGTTATTTCTTGAATATTGAGGATTATATTATATAATAAGTTTCTTGTGGAATATTGTGATTTGTGAGTGAATACAGGATATTTCAATATCAAAGGTAAGTGAATATTTACATTTTTAATTTTATTTTAAGAATCATAATGTTTATTAAAATATGATTAGGCCTACATAGCCATAAATATCATTTACCTATAATAGATTCTGCAATAACAAGTTGGGATGTCACTAGGTCTATACTAGGCTTAAAGGATATATATATATATATATATATATATATAAATAAATATATATATATATTTTCCTACTGTAAGTGTAATAATGCTACTAAGGCTAGGGTTATTTATCCCACTCCCCCAATTAATACCTCAAAATAAAGCATCAGATAATATTATAAATAGGTATTTGTGCTAGTAAATTGTTGCTTTGTTTTAAAATTAGTTATTAGTGGGTAATATGCTGGATTTCCAGTGTAAATCAAGTTGCTTATTACAAAAACGTCCATTATCGATAATAGGTAATTTTGG